GCCTTGGCAGTCGCGGGGCGTGGGGAGGGGCGCATGTGATGGTTGTCACTGCTCTTACCTACAAGCGGGTCTTCACAATTGTTAGAAATAGCACGAACCAGAAACACAAAAGAAAAAAAAAAAACCACTCACTCATACACGTCAGGATGAACAGTCCACGAGGTGTTGCCGCGGGCAAAGGGGTTGCAGAAGCGGCGGGTGAGGAAGCCCTTGGGTGGGGCTATGATGGCGCGGTCGGTGAGCAGGCCGAGCACAAAGGAGATGACGTACGACGCGATGCGGTTGCCCACTCCTGAGGGCAGCGCGGGTGGTGGGTGGGCACGGCAGATCGGCTCGTGAGCACGCCCAGCACAAACGAGATGACGCACCTTCTAGGGCTCACCCAGTCTGACATGCAGCATATGCCTTCGATTTCACGGGCCCACTCGAGCACGCACCTCGAACGAGGTCGTGAATGATGATGTAGCGGCAAGGCTTCCTCTCAGGCCCGTAGCGAGGCACCTCCGTGCCCCTGGTGGTGAGTGGAAACGAAAAAACACGGGAAGGAAGAAGAGTGGGAGGAAACGTGAGTGCATGGCGCACCAACCCACCCCACACACCAGCTCTGCTGATTCCGCACCCACTGCCGTCGCTCCACGCCCTCCTGGCTCATACAATTCCTCTGCATCACTCGTGAGCTTGACGTCTATAAGTGTGCCTCTCTCTTCAAGCCCACCCCCTCTTTAGTCACTTCAAGCCCACACCAGACACCAGCTGTGCTTGTCGCGCACCCACTGCCACTGCTCCACGTCCCCCTGGCTCACACACTCCCGCTGTGTGCCGCTCCCCCTCCGACGTCTCTTCACACCCACCCCTTCTCAACTCCCTTCAAGCCCACCCACGCACCAGTTGTGCTTGTCACGCACCCACTGCCACTGCTCCACACCCTCCTGGCTCACACACTCTTCCTGCATCGCCTCATATGCCACCACCGCATCCACGAACGCCTGCGACGGGTGTGACCGGTCGGCCTGTGTGGCAAAGCAGAGACGGAATGGTGCAGAGGTAGTTGCAGCGGTAAGGATGGCAGATACCGCATGCTACAGACGTCCCTCCCCCACATACCGCGTGTTACAGACGTCCCTCCCACACATACCGCGTGCTACAGTCGTCCCTCCCACACACACCACGTGCTACAGATGACTCTCCCACACCTCTGGCTCATGCCGTGTGGTACAGGTGTCGCTCCTACTCATACGTGTGGTACAGGTGTCGCTCCCACACATACCGTGTGGTACAGGTGTCCCTCCCACACATACCGTGTGGTACAGGTGTCGCTCCCACACATACCGTGTGGTACAGGTGTCGCTCCCACACATACCGTGTGGTACAGGTGTCGCTCCCACACATACCGTGTGGTACAGGTGTCGCTCCCACACATACCGTGTGGAACAGGTGTTGCTCCCACACATACCGTGTGGTACAGGTGTCGCTCCCACACATACCGTGTGGTACAGGTGTCGCTCCTGCTGGCTCCAGCACGCATTGGGGGTGCGGTACCGCATGTGGTGCCATGCAGCCGAAGGATTGAATCTCGACGGCGGGTTCGGGAGCTCAAACACTCCCCCCAACGCGCCACCATCGCCACCGCTGCCGCCGCTGCTTCCGCTGCTGTTCCCGCCGTCGCCACTGTGACCGCCCGCACCCCCGCCGTCACTCCCAGCCCCGCCTGTCGTTTCTGGCAGCCCCGATTCACCCTCGCCTCCTGTGGCGCCTGTCTCTGAGGCGGTGCCATCAGCGGCAGTGGAGGCAGGCTGCGTGCATTGCGAAATAGGGAGGCAGGAATGTGGGGTGGGCGGAATGCGGGGATGAGGGCGTGCAAAGAGGGGGGAATGCGGGAAGGGATGGCGTGCAAAGAGGGGGGAATGCGGGAAGGGATGGCGTGCAAAGAGGGGGGAATGCGGGAAGGGATGGCGTGCAAAGAGGGGGGAATGCGGGAAGGGATGGCGTGCAAAGAGGGGGGAATGCGGGAAGGGATGGCGTGCAAAGAGGGGGGAATGCGGGAAGGGATGGCGTGCAAAGAGGGGGGAATGCGGGAAGGGATGGCGTGCAAAGAGGGGGGAATGCGGGAAGGGATGGCGTGCAAAGAGGGGGGAATGCGGGAAGGGATGGCGTGCAAAGAGGGGGGAATGCGGGAAGGGATGGCGTGCAAAGAGGGGGGAATGCGGGAAGGGATGGCGTGCAAAGAGGGGGGAATGCGGGAAGGGATGGCGTGCAAAGAGGGGGGAATGCGGGAAGGGATGGCGTGCAAAGAGGGGGGAATGCGGGAAGGGATGGCGTGCAAAGAGGGGGAATGCGGGAAGGGATGGCGTGCAAAGAGGGGGGAATGCGGGAAGGGATGGCGTGCAAAGAGGTGGGAATGTGGGAAGGCTTTGCGGCGCCTCAAAGAAGCAGTCCCTCTCGCCTCTTGTGGGCGTGCCTCGGATTCGTGCGCCAGTGATGGAGACCGGCTGCAGGTAGAGCGGCATGCAAGGAGGGGGGTTTTGTGGGGATGGGGGAATGTGGGGACGGGGAAATGCGTTGAGGGGGGGATGCGGGGAGTGGGGAATGTGGGGATAGGAGAACGTGGGGAGGGGGGAATATGGGGAGGGGGAAATGTGGGGATAGGGGAACGTGGGGAGGGGGGAATATGGGGAGGGGGAAATGTGGGGATAGGGGAACGTGGGGAGGGGGGAATATGGGGAGGGGGAAATGTGGGGATAGGGGAACGTGGGGAGGGGGGAATATGGGGAGGGGGAAATGTGGGGATAGGGGAACGTGGGGAGGGGGGAATATGGGGAGGGGGAAAAGTTGGAAGGGGGGAATGCGACGGGTGGCTCTCGAGTCAACTGGGAGGAGGAAGGGGGGAGAGAATGCGAGCCACAGGGCAGGGCTGATGAAAGAAAGGTGGAAAACATGTGGTCTCCCCGGGAGGCAAGGGTCACACAATGTGAGCCTTGGTCGTTTTGCAAGGGTCGTCACTGGCAGTGGAGTGCGACCGTGGGCCACCTGGCACGGGTTGGATGATAGTGGTGTGTCAGAGAGTCGCTATCGTTCGGTGTGCTTGACGCGTGCAGCGGCTGCATGCGCTGGCAACGAGAGCGCGCGACGGACGCAATATCGTCCCGCGGGGCATGCAAGCAGGGCTGCGTTGCGGGGAGTGAGGAATGCGGAAACCATCACGGCGTGGGGAATGCGGTACCCCTTGCGGAGAAGACGGTACCCTTTGCGGGGAAGACGGTACCCCTTGCGCGGAAGATGGTACCCTTTGCGCGGAAGACGGTATCCCTTGAGCGGAAGATGGTACCCTTTGCGCGGAAGACGGTATCCCTTGCGGGGAAGACGATACCCTTTTCGCGGAAGACGGTATCCATTGCGCGGAAGACGGTATCCCTTGCGCGGAAGACGGTACCCCTGGCGCGGAAGACGGCATCCGTGGCGGTCGCCAGACTGTGAACAGCTGAATGAACTCAACACGCAGCTCCCGTTGTGGTGCCGTTTAAACATCCCCTTCTCATCATGGCAACATCATTCGATTAACGAGCTCGTTGCGCGACGATCGCCGGACCATGAGGCTCCTGGAATGATCTACGGTCACCGCCGCGTTACCCGCTTCAAGATTCTGCGACGCCTCGGACGCACGATACGAAGAGGCGAAGTGGAAATGCTAGCGGTGATAGTACCTGCGATTGTGCTGCCGCGGGTGAGCAGAGCGACAATAAAGCGAGCAGAAGCGCAGCCCAACGCAGCACGCTGTGCCGTCGCCGGACTTGTCTCCTGCGGTGAAAGCCGTGCTGGAACATTTTAACTACGGGAGTCTTCTTAGCTGACTGAAAAGTCACTGTGAATCTGCATCCAGCACTTAGCAGTCAGCACGGCTGCTGTAAGTTTGTGAACCTCGAGCGACTGCAGGCGATATTCATGGAGGATCGTCACTAGACCATATGAATGAACGCGAAGAGTGCAGGCTAGAGCTTATTCGACATCGATGCTCCTGATAAGACGCGAATCAGTTCAGAGCTTTGATTCAAAGTATACACTTAGCCCGCGTTATTTTCACACCCAGTATTTTCACAGGGGGTGCCGCAGAGAGGGTATTCACCCCTTGAAAGCTGCTAATGAAGACCAGATCCCGATACCCTTGAAAACTACCAGAACTTGGGTTTCAATACGAAAAGTTTACTGCTCGATTTAGTGTTTCTCGAGTCAGGAAACCCGACGTCAGCTTAGGCAGTGCTCAAAGTTTTTTCCCGCGTGGAGTCTGCCAAGCTTAGGCCGTAGGAACAAGGAAGTACTGTCTACGCACTCAGAAATGGTCAGGATAGAAACAAAAGTTTTTCTCCCGCCCAGTTTCAGGGTGTGAAATTACCGCGGGCTAGGTGTACGGGTATGGCGGTTTCGTCCGTTAGGCTTTGCTGCGCATCCGACTCCCTGATAAGCATCAAGCGGTGGCTCGTGGTGCGTGGCTTCATGCATGGGTTGCGGACAAGAAAGGATAGCCCGTACATGTAACGTCAAGGAGCCAGCAGCGAGCCAACAAATCCTGCAGAGTGGGTCAACAGACTTTGTCCCAAGCGTGCGCCTGATTGCGGTCGGGTAAGGTGTCCTCTTCGGTTTAGCAGAATAAAATATTATTAAACTACGGTTGACTAGGGTATTGAGCGGCATCAGTCGGTGAGTTGAGTCAGCGGAAGGAATCAGGCATGGAACGGCGGCTGCTGGGCTCAACCAGTGTGCTGCTGGGGTTCAAAAGCTGTCGGCTGGGCTCTTTCCCGCGCTTTTCCTTCGGGGGAAGGAACCAGTGCGCGCAACGCAGCCTTTGGTTTTGGCCGCGCGTCGTGTCAAGATCTGCATGATGGTGGAAAGGCACCGGTACAAGTCATCCCCGCCAACGCACAATGTGGTAGAGACCTTGACTTTTGATAAAAGGCACGTACACTGCACGCTAGGCAGGTGTTAACACTTTTGACAGCATGGATGAACAATGTGAGAAAAAAACCCATATAGACATGATTTGGCCCATCACGTCAAGGTCCTCGTTTCATATTCTGTTACTCTGAATTCTCATACTAGTACGGTACGCTCGTTTGGCTGAGAATTCTCGCAACTTCCGAAGTTAATCCCTGAGCTTCCTGCACCACTCTCACCTCCTCCCCAGCCTTCGCTACGGCCGCACAGCCAGGAATATCTGTTGAACGCACTCCAGCATTCCCTGCTCTGAGCACTTCATCCCCCTCATGCCCTAGCCTTCTACAATCACTCAGTGTAGCTCCTGCCCCCACGGCACTGACGGCACCCTCATTGTCACGCGCCGCTAGTTTGTCCGCAAGCCAGGCTGCGAGGTCGCGAACAGTGTCGATGTCCCTCAGGTGGGGGAGGGAGTCCAGCGGTGCCACGTCGGCCACCCCGCTGGCACGGAGGGCGGCGAGGGACTGCTGAAGCACCCTCTCAGTGCTCCAGTCGATGGCCTGATGTGGGCAGGGGGTGTCAGACAGGGGGGGAGGGGAGGGAGGATGGTGGAGGAAGAGGGCAAAGAGAGAGTGTGGAGGGAATGGAGGGCAGTGAGGGACTGCTGAAGCACCCTCTTAGCGCTCCAGTCGATGGCCTGATGTGGCCTGGGTGTGACACACAGAGGACGGGGAGGGGGCGGATGGCAGGAGGAGCATGGGATGAAACGATAGTGGAGGGAGAGGGCAAAGAAACAACGGACAAGTGCGTGAGAGTTGCAGTGAGATGTGCTGCACGTGCGAGCTGCTACCGACACGTGCAGGCTCGCATGGAATGGGCGCACGTTGTGCACTAACATGCCACACTTACATTGAAGAGGCACGGCCGCACTGCTGTGAGGCCGAGCAGGTAGTATCCGCCATCCAGAGCCAGCCCAAAGACCACCTGAGGGGAAAGTAAAAAAGGGCGCACGAGAGAGGGACGCGGAAAAGCGGACACATGAGAGAGAATTCAAAACGCGGGCACGTGAGAGGGCATCCTAAATCAAAAGAACTCTTCTTTACATTATTTTGAGAGAAAACTTGTTCATTCCGCACCAATCTTCTCATTGTCTCAAACCCCCTCTCCCTCCCTCCGCAGCACCTCCCACTTCCGCCCCCAAGTCTTGCCCTCTTTCCTCCGCTCACCCCGTGCTGCCGCAGAGCAGAGAGCGCAGCCGCCACAGTGGCGCCGCTCACATCAGGGATGTCCGTTCCAACCACCACCACCTGCCACGGGATGATGGCCCGGATAGGGGATGCGTGGCAAGCGGGGAGAGAGGGAATTGGAAGGGGCGAGAGGGTATGAGCGAGTGCGGGGTGGAGGTAGGAATGAGCGAAATAGCTGTCGAGAGGAGTTGTGAGAGGAAGGAAGGAAAGAAATAGAGATCGGAGAAATGCAAGCAGACTGATGTGTGGCTCATGCTGTGGAATCCAAGGGCCAAGACAGCTCACCCTGTGGTATCCAAGGGCCAAGACAGCTCACCCTGTGGCATCCAAGGGCCAAGACAGCTCACCCTGTGGTATCCAAGGGCCAGCACGTGCTGGAAGGCAGCTTGCATGCGAGCACCCACGTCTCCCGCTACCTGAACGGACAGAGAAGAGCGGAGGCAGAGTTGGGAAGAGCAGCGGCAGGTGTGCAGTCTGAAGGTGCAATGGCATGTCGCAACACACGCCAATGGCCTGCTCACTCATGCAGACGCGAGTCCGCATAACTGGAATATGAGCATGCATGCGGTGTGTGTGGATGGGGTGTGTGCATGTGGTGTGTGTGGATAGGGTGTGTGCATGGGATGTGTGCATGGGGTGCGTGCATGCATGGGGTGCGTGCATGCATGGGGTGCGTGCATGCATGGGGTGCGTGCATGCATGGGGTGCGTGCATGCATGGGGTGCGTGCATGCATGGGGTGCGTGCATGCATGGGGTGCGTGCATGCATGGGGTGCGTGCATGCATGGGGTGCGTGCATGCATGGGGTGCGTGCATGCATGGGGTGCGTGCATGCATGGGGTGCGTGCATGCATGGGGTGCGTGCATGCATGGGGTGCGTGCATGCATGGGGTGCGTGCATGCATGAGGTGCGTGCATGCATGAGGTGCGTGCATGCATGGGGTGCGTGCACGGCATGTGAATGCATAGCTGCGTTGGGCTTCGACCTGAGACACAAAGCGGAGGGAGTTCGGAGATGGCAGCAATCCGTGCATCCACCGCTTGATCTCGGATTCATCCGACGGCTCAGAGAAGAAGATGAAGATATGTGTGGATGCCTGCCTGCCACGTCATGCCACACACGGGGGATGCCATACCGAGAAGGAACACATGCTATGATGGCTCCAATCCAAGCAGCCACGCCAGGCGCGAGTACCCCCACGTGAAGCCTGATGGACTTCGGATCCAGAAATCGCATCCCACCATTCCCACAACATGTCAGGTCGCCCTGGCTACGGCACCCTACAAGAGCTCACGTTCTAGAAGTCAGCACCTCGTTTTAGTCACGTTCAGGTCGGGACTAAGTGCGAAGCACTTGGCAGCCTGCACCTCGCTACAGTCACGTACAGGTCGGGGCAGCGCGCGATCGCGGAGACCACGTGTTCGCAGCACGCGCGGTAGAAGTCGCACGCCGCTTCGGGTCCCACGGCTGCAGCGAGGCGCGTCTTCACGCGCCCCGGCACGGGCCGCCTCACGAAGATCATCGCCGCCTGCTGCGCGCCGAGCGGCTCATTCGGTCTCAGCACAAGGCCGTTCGGTTCAGGGCCGCTCATTTCAAAGTCGCTCTTTCCAGGGCCGCGCAGGCTCGTCCTAGGAGATTAAAGCTTATCGACGCCTTCGTGCCGCCTCGCGGCGATGGTGACTCGCTCGCTTTGGGCGTGGCGAGCATGCGGTTAGTAGGGTTGGCGATTGAGACGGGCAAAGAGAGAGAGAGAGGAGAGGCGGGCGGGGAAAAACGAAAGTGACGGAGAGGGCGGGTGAGTTCACGCCATGCCGGTCAGCGCCTCGCGCGCAGGGGACACAGGGGACTGGCGAGCTCGCGGCGAATATGGCGAGGGGGAGCAGTCAAAGGCCAGTGCAGTAGCAGGCCCTTACGCACTCTAGACCACCTTCGGGGTGTGGGTTGAGGGGAAGGGCACGGGGAGGGGAGGCGGAAGCAAAGGGGAAGTTCGTTCCCCTGGTTGGCTTGCGAAGACCATTCATTTCCCCTCGCGAATGTCGCGACGATTCTCGAACCTGCTCTTTCGCCGATGGGCCATCCAGTTCTCGTTGCAACCATCCAATGGAATCGAGGCGGCACGGCACCGACCCACCACCGACTCAGAAACAAATTGACGATGTCAGGCGAATTTCGTCAACAACGTTGCGAACGCAGAAGGGTCAGCGGCTGGCGGAGACGCAACTCGCGCGCTGAAGTTTGAGTGCATGCGGGCGCAGAGAAGATTCCGCTCAAACCCGGAAGCAGCGACCAGACCAGAGATATTCCGCTCCGCCCTGTACCGTTTCTTCCCCTCCCCTGCACTCCCCCATAAGCAAAAAGTGAATCTCACAGCAGACAGACTCTCACGCATCCAGATTCGCTCGTCTCGATCGACGACTCCGCTTCGATCCAGATACCCGTTTGAGGAGAGAGAGAGTTTCGCCCGAGGGCACCCGGCTAGATCACTGCAACGTTTGCCATCCGCCATCCGCCATCCACCATTCTCCATCCACCATCCGCCATCCGCCATCCGCCATGAGCGCGAGCGGCGCAGCCGCGGCGACGGCCACAGCCGCAGCCGCCAGCCTGAAGCAGCGCCGGCCGCCGGCGGACGGGCAGCAGCCGGCCGTCGCGGCGGACGAGATTAAGAACAAGGCCAAGCCGCGCGGCGCGTCCCCTCGCCGGCGATCTGGCTGGCTCGTGCTGCTCGTGATCGTTGTCGCGGCAGCGGCGGCGGCGGCGGGAGCGGGTTACCTGTGGTGGCGAGAGTACGGCGAGTACGGCGAGGGCGCGGAGGAGGGGGACCAAGAGAGCGCCGCGGCGAGCGAGAAGGCGGCGACGAGGCCGAAGCCGCGGAAAGCCCAATGGCAAGCCGATGTGAGTCGCTGGGCCGCTGGGTGCGTTGGCGATGCGAGTTGAGTCGCTGGGTGCGTTGGCGATGCGAGTTGAGTCGCTGAGTGCGTTGGCGATGCGAGTTGAGCCGCTGGGTGTGTTGGCGATGCGAGTTGAGTCGCTGGGTGCATCGGCGGTGTGAGTCTCGAAGTGCATTCGTTGCAAAGTGCTGAAGCTGCAAGCCGCAATGCTGGCGACGAAGGGCGCCTGCGATCCGTCCTGGATAAGCGATCCCTTATCGTCGCCTGACCCCTCCGTTGAGTCTGCGCCAATCGCTTTCCGCCATCCCGAGACCAGATCCGAGACTTGGGTCCGGTGTCAAATCTTTAGTCGTCGCAACCAGTACTATTTGTTAGCGCGTCTTTTCTCCTCCCTGCTGTCTTGTCAACCCGCCTTTTCCTGCCCGGTGCTTCTGCTACCCATGAGCTGCCTGCCCGCATGCCGTGCATCAATGCTTACATGTGACTGCATCGATTGTGACTGCCCCGATTGTGACTGTAACAGAAGCTGTGGCGGGCGGAGGAACTCGCCAAGTACAACGGCTCTCAGAAGGGCCTTCCGCTGCTGCTGGGCATCCTAGGGTGAGTGTGGAGTGAGTGTGGGGCATCCTGGGGTGAGTGTGGAGTGAGTGTGGGGCATCCTAGGGTGAGTGTGGAGTGAGTGTGGGGCATTCTGGGGTGAATAAGTTGATGGGTTATTGGGGTGTCATGACTCCTTGCCCCATTTCCCATACCCCTTGCGATGCCCCATGCCATACCCCATGCCCATTCCCCATACCCATACCCCATGCCATACCCCATGCCATACCCCATGCCCATTCCCCATACCTATACCCCATGCCATACCCCATGCCCATTGCCCATACCCATACCCTATGCCATACCCCATGCCCATTCCCCATACCCATAACCCACGCCCTTTCCCCATACACATACATACCCCATGCCCCTATGCCCCATGACCATACTCCATGCCCACACCCTGTTACCCATACCCCATGCCCCATTTCCCATAACCCATACCCCATACTTCATGCCCAATGCCCCGTGCGTCGCTCCTCTCGTGTGCCGCATGCTCGCAGGGACGTGTTTGATGTGAGCAAGGGCAAGAAGCACTACGGCAAGGGGCAGGGCTACAACCACTTCGCTGGCAGGTCAGTGCTTGGCGCGCTTCAACAGCAGGCAAGGGGCAGGGCTACTACCACTTCCTGGCACGTCAACCATTCCAACAATTGAAGTCAGCCGTTCCTCTTTCTCCTCTCCCCACCCTTTTTACCTTGCCTCCTCGCCGCCCATTCTCGAGTTGCATCCCCAAGCACCCCTCTCGCTCGCCCCCCTCGCCCCGTTCCCTTCTCATGAACGCATGGCCTCTTCTCATGAACGCATGGCCTCTTCTCATGAACGCATGGCCTCTTCTCATGAACGCATGGCCTCTTCTCATGAACGCATGGCCTCTTCTCATGAACGCATGGCCTCTTCTCATGAACGCATGGCCTCTTTCAAAACTCCCACGTCCCCTTCCCTCTCATTCACTCTTTCTTCCCTTCCCCCTCCTCCTCTCCCCCCCCCCCCCCCCCCCCGTCCTCCACTCTCCCCCTTCGCCACCCCCGCTGGTCACGGATTCACCTCCACGCCCATCTCACAGCCCTCCTCCCTCCCTTCCTCTTCTGCCTTGCCCCCACCCCCCCTGGCCCCTCTGCCTTGCGCCAATCCCCCCCGCCCCTCTACCTTGCCCATCCCCCAGGGACGCCTCGAGAGCATTTGTGTCGGGCAACTTCTCAGGTGCGTATGCCCGCCACATGCCAGGGCCACCCATAGCTGGTCATGCCATGCCATGCCGTGCCGTGCCGTGCCATGCCATGCCGTGCGGTGCCGTGCCGTGCCGTGCCGTGCCGTGCCGCGCCACGCCCCACCATGCAATTGATGCTGAGCCTGTGTTCAATATAGCTCCAGCTCAAAATGTCCTGGTCTCTTTCTGGTTCGCACAGCACCTTGAGTTTCTCCACTCGCACTCTCCCCTCCTCTTCTCTCAAGCGGTTCTTTGTGTTCATGGAAGAGTGGGCACAAGGTGAGTGCATGCATGCATGGGCTAACCCCTCTCCTCCCCGCCTCTCCCTGCAGGCGAGGGGCTGACGGACGACCTGGAAGGGCTGACAGGCGAGCAGTGCATCGGCATTGCTGACTGGCGGGACTTCTACTTCAAGACGTACATGTGAGCGCTGTGCGGTTCACGGCTCCATGGTAGTGTGGAGCCCCGTGCATGTGGGGGACTTGCATGTGGGGGACTTGCATGTGGGGGACTTGCATGTGGGGGACTTGCATGTGGGGGACTTGCATGTGGGGGACTTGCATGTGGGGGACTTGCATGTGGGGGACTTGCATGTGGGGGACTTGCATGTGGGGGACTTGCATGTGGGGGACTTGCATGTGGGGGACTTGCATGTGGGGGACTTGCATGTGGGGGACTTGCATGTGGGGGACTTGCATGTGGGGGACTTGCATGTGGGGGACTTGCATGTGGGGGACTTGCATGTGGGGGACTTGCATGTGGGGGACTCAGATTAGAAACCGGCCTCAGTTTAGACTGTTCTCTTCCAGCATGGTAGCCTCACGACCATATGAGGACGCACGGTCTTTCACCCCATCTCCCCCCACTTCATCACGCATGCAAGCAGCCAGCCACGTGGGGAAGCTGGTGGGGCGGTTCTTAGACTGGCAGGGCAGGCGGACAGGCGTGCTGGGGGGTTTTGAGTCCGACGGAACGCCAGTTAGGTGCCGTGGTGTCAACATGCGGCAGCAACTTCGGGAATAACACATGTGACATGGCAGACAGGACGCACCGCTGAGGGAGCAAATCTCCATCCTCCACTCTTTCCCCCTCTCGTCCATGCGCCTTGCTGCTTGCTCTGAATGGTCGTCCATGCACCTTGCTGCTTGCTCTGAACGGCTTTGTGGGTAGCCGGGTGGGGCGCTTCCATGATGGGCAGGAAAAGGCAACCGTTGAGAGGCGTGCTGGGGGAATTCGGCTTGCCGCTGAAGGAAGGCAATCCTAGATTTCCCTGCTTTAACCCTCTCTTTCCTGCCCTCCCGCCCGTGTTCCCTGCTTTTCACTGCGAGCAGCCACGTGGGGAAGCTGGTGGGGCGGTTCTATGACGAGCAGGGGAGGGCGAGGGATGCGCTGGGGGAGTTCGAGGTGCTGCTGAAGGAGGGCAAGCGGCTGAGGGGCGTGGCGAAGGCGGTGGAGAAGAAGTACCCCGGCTGCAACTCGCGATGGGCGCAGAACGAGGGAGGCAAGGTGAGGCTCCTTTCTTCCGCGCTCGCCCTGATGTTTCTTTGTGCTCTCTTTTCTTGGGGCTCTTCACACTTGTCCGTGTGTGTCAATCCCATCCAAGTACACCAGCTGCAACCCGCGATGGGCGCCAAATCTTATATTTTGAGGCGCTCCTAACACCCCTTTCCCATTGTTCCCCCCATCAATATCCGAATCCCCTCCCCCCCCCCCCCCCCCCCCCAACTTCCTCCCACCCTCCTCTCTCTGTTTCTTCCTTGTCCTCTTCACTTCGAGCGGGGTGGTGTGTAGGTGTGGTGTGCCTCCCAGGTGTGGTGTGCCTCCCAGGTGTGGTGTGCCTCCCAGGTGTGGTGTGCCTCCCAGGTGTGGTGTGCCTCCCAGGTGTGGTGTGCCTCCCAGGTGTGGTGTGCCTCCCAGGTGTGGTGTGCCTCCCAGGTGTGGTGTGCCTCCCAGGTGTGGTGTGCCTCCCAGGTGTGGTGTGCCTCCCAGGTGTGGTGTGCCTCCCAGGTGTGTGATGTGCCTCCCAGGTGTGATGTGCCTCCCCAGGTGTGGTGTGCCTCCCAGGTGTGGTGTGCCTCCCAGGTGTGGTGTGTCTCGCAGTATCCTTGGAGTACTGGAGCCAGAGAGCGAGACAGCAGTTGGCAGAGGCCGGGACATGTGCAGAGGCGGAGGGGGAGCATTGGGTGGCAGTGA